AGAGTTTAGGGCTGCTGCAAGGTTTGGGAACGCTGAGGAATGTAAACGGATGATGCTGTGATCAGGTTAAAAACTCCTCCTCAGGGTTCGAATTTCGGCTGAAAATCTAGTGGACAGCGGGACCATCAACTTCAGAAAGTCGGTGGTCCTGCACAAAAGTTGGTGGTCCGCTTATTTACTACCTGTGAGTAACAAAATGGTATTTAAAAATAACCATTAACAGCATACATTATTATTATATTATACTTTATTGGTGCAGCACTTGACTTGGGTGGCCGAATAACACAATACACATGACATAGACCAGGGATGTGCCTGCGGTAGCCAAACTAACTTGACTTACCACGTAGAGTTGGTCAAATAATATATTTCAAGCTCTAGGAATGTTGGGGGAGCTTCTGGGAAAGGGTTTACTTTCGTTTTTCTCCTCTCCAGTTCTCGGTACCCCCATGCGTAGATCAATGCTGCCGCACATCCTCAAAGTCAAAACGGCCTAGAATCTTTAAGTATATATATACAGTTTACATTGCTTCTAGATATCTAACTGAATAAAAATAGTCCACTTTCTACGTAAATAAAAGTAACGAATTCAGTCACTTATTATTATGCGTTACGCATAAAAACACTCGGCTACGCTACATGCGGCAGGCCGCAATCGATTTATTAGACGGTCGCGAGTTTTTGTTCGTATGGCGAATCATGAGTTGAGGACTACATGGATACTTTTTGGATACCCCGTCAGAAACGGAGCGCATTAGAATACGCTCCCGTTTATAAGTCTGTCTAAACGCCGTTGTGATAACCGTAGTATTTCAGCATAATATGAAGGGGAAAAGTGCCGGTCATGAGGACCGGCAGTTTTGTAGAGATGGTGGCCCGAGCAAAAACTTGGTGGCCTCGGGCCTCCGGGTCGGCACCAATTTCGAACGCTGCTCCTCCTGCTCAGGCCATAATAAAAATATTGTTTGTTTGCCCTTACCTGAGCGACCTGCCAAAAAGGGGCCGACTCAAAAAATTTTATTGATCTTTCCCATTCTTTTTTTTAACAAATAATTGTATCACTATACATTATATAAATCTGTAGGCAATACATTATATGTACCAAGCAAAATAAACATTCAACATAAAAGGTATCTCCACACAAGCACACCCGAGCATGACTCTCCTGAACACGCCTCAGACACGCACACACGTTGCTCGCATCACATAGGCTGCGAAAATCGCGACTGCGAGGAAGACTTAGTTAAAACGACTGGCGAAAATGTGTTGAGGGCGCAGCGTGGGATTACTATACGTCTGGTCTAATCCCGCAAGAGAAGACTGAATTAAATCGTACTCAGATAATCACGCACACTCACAGTAAACCTCAGACGACATTTTCTGTATGTAGGATATATAACTGTATTTCCTAATACCCCATGTAAGGAATCGGTCAGTAATGATTAGAAGGTGCAGCACAAGCAAAGACGCGGGCGCCTTTCAATCTCAAAACTAACAATGTGACATTAAAACTGTGTAGAGCGCACATCAGGGAAAAAATTACTTTTTTTTTCACGGGAGCTCTTTTTCAAGTCTGTGGAAAAAATAGCTCGTCCAAAATGTTACGGGAGCTATTTTGAGCCTCACGGGAGAGATTTCGGAGGTTTGAAGAGCGAATCGCTCATCGCTCCCGTATATTTTTTACCCTGGCGCACATGAACACACCTGTGGTAATAATTCCTCCTAGGCCACTGCATGTACCACCCCTTGTCTCGCACGGCGTGGCCCAGCTGCTCCAAGTTACGGGGGTTCCTATTGATGAACTCCGCCGAGGGGACCTCTTGTTGCACGCAACTCTCCTCGTCAGCCCCACGACTCGTTGTCGCTTCCTTACCGGTGGCAGCGGCAACACTGGCTGAATAGCATGCTATGCGCAAACAGAACTATTGATATTAGTACATTATTATTATTATTGATACAGATGTATGTAGAAAAAAATGATCGCATTACTCATGCTAACTCATGATACATATTGCTGCTACCCAGTGGCACTTATTTTGCTTGTATTTCGTATGCACAGTCAATTCTCCCGATACCGACAACCCTCTGGACTGTCCATTTAGTTCGGTTATCTGTGAAGTTAATTCAGCCTATAGGGTGCCATATTACATGTCTCAAATGGTGTTGGGACAAAAAATTCATCGAGTTTAATGCGGGATTCGTTTTTATGGGCATTCGGAATTTGGACAGTCGACGTACTGTACTCCCGATTGTCCCCTCAACACAGGAAAATTATTAAAAAAAGTAAGCTGCTTTGTTAACTTTTGGAGGAAATGCGTGCATTAATTGGTGCCTCTCGAACTTGTGGTAGGGCCTATAGTGCCCTGATAGTGATACTTGCCTTGGCTCAACCCATGACCATGTATGTGTTTAATAACCCGACAAAAACGTGATCGTTAGATGCACCACTTGGCACTAGATACAACATGTGCACAAGCTGTGACTGTGAGATCTACACTAATTTGTGTTGATTAGCCGGCAAGTGTGTACTCAGTACTGTAGTCTGTACTGTACTGTAGTCTGTACTGTGACAGTCTGTGCAGTCATGCCGCGCGTTTTTGCAAACATTGCGCTCTACATAGTATTCATAACTGAAGGAAGAGCAC